AATTTTTAACCCCTTAAAGTTAAAAAGGTAACCCTTTAGGTCTCTGCTCATTATTATTTTTACTCTTAAAATATCACTACTATTTTGATCAGTAAAAAAATATATCACAACTATGATAATATGGATAATTAACTATGTTTTAGTTGAATTTATGAACTGTTACAATTGACCCCGTAAGTGGGGACAATTGTAACAAGTGCACGACTGTCAAAAATTGTTAATAACTAATATAATAACATTTGAAATAAAGTATTTTTTTTCTAGTAGAGGATAGTCTACTTTACTCGTCTGTCAATTAATACTAATAATATATTCGATTTTTTGTTAGTTAAAAATAGTTAAGTAAAAAATGTCACAATAGACTCCACTCTCCCCTATTTCATAATAATTCATTTATATATAGAATGGGTATAAGTACTTACCATCATCATTTCCAATAGCATAACTTCCCATCCTTGCAGTTTTAAACATCAACTCACCTGCCTCTGAATACACTAAAACTATATTTCTTCTCTTGAGGAGAGCCTTGCATTCATAGGATTAACCCCCTGTATACATTTCAGAGCAGTTCATTCTGAAGTGCCTTTGTTGCCCATTCATCAATGTCGACTACGAATTGTTCACTTCCTTGAATAACCACCCCCCTACTAACTCTCAAACGAATCGTTTCTTATCTACCTTTTCTATTGCTGCATTCCAAAACAACAATACTTCCTTACTTGTAAAATCACATTCATTCTGTTTTTTTGAAAAGTAAACACCAGAAAAATATTAATATAATTAAATTAATAAATCATGGAAATCCAAAAAATTATCTTTTAATAAGAAATTAAGATTCCTTTCAAAGGGAAAGCTCATTTAATTTAAATTAATTATTTACAATTGAATTTGATTTTAATATATTTTATTTAACGAGTATATTTGTATTTGACTGAGTCATTTATTATTTAATCTTAAATAGAAGCAAATTAATAATAGCTATCAAAACTAGTTAATTGAAAAACTATTTGCAATATGTGGAATAAAACTAAGCAGCTTATAATTTGGCACTTGATTACATATAACAAATAGATTTCCAAGCAATATTTATAGTAATGTTTATATAGAAGACAAATTTGTTAGCAGAAAGCGAATAAAAAAATGCAAGAATGGAAGGGAAAAGGACGAAAAAGAACAGGATGAAATATCCAATAAATAATTTTGCTTTATTTTATATAATATTTAATATATATAATTTTTTTTTCATTTAAATTAATGCGTTAACTATTAATTTCAGAATTTTTCTACTTGAAGTTTATCAAAGTTATGTTCACGCGAATCTTTGCTCTCGCGAAGTTTTGTCCGCAGAAGGTTTGACCGTGAAAGTCAGACCCATTACCTTTACCTCAATTAGAGAATGAGAATCATTATAATGCGCGAAATAGTTTCAGCCCCTTTTCAAAAAATTAATGAAAAATAACGTATCTTTCATAAATAAACAAAAACATTTTGCATTAAACCCCTTCTTAAGAAATACGTCGTACTCAGTATCTTCACCCTTTTACCTAAATTCACAAATCTGAATCGTATCTGTTAAGAAAGCGAGAAACAGTTTCATGATGCAAGGGATCGTTTTTGCTCCTTCCATAAAAAAAAAATTAAAAAATTTCTCACGAAAATAAACGCTTTTATAAAAAATACCGCCTAAAACAGAAATAAGTTCCACTCACTATCCCCCTCCATCTTACCTCAATTAGCGACAAAAATTTTCATGCTGCAGAGAATCTTCGACACCTTTACAAATATATATATATA